AATACATAAAAATACATATGTATCTATTTATTATTTTAAGCCCTTTTTTTAAAATACCAATACTAATCATATAATTTAACATTTACATTCAAATTTCAAAATATAATGTACTAAAATGTTCAATTTCCTCTCATATGTTGCTTTTTGTTAAACATCATCTCCATTGCTTCAAATCTTGCATCAGTGAGCTTTTGTTTGGCATCCATTTCCTCTCGCGTTTCTCGAAGTTTTGCTTCGATTTCTGCAGCTTTTGCATACATGTGCTTTCGCATCTCCTCACGCATTTCTTCATATACAGTCTACAACACAAACATGAATATAAAAACCTAAATTTTCTTTATACACAATGCCTTAATATGAAATAAGATTAAAGTTACCTTCTGCTTTAAATAAGCACATTCAGCTTCAAGTGAGTGAACTCCCTGCAGACAGAAAGTTTACTCTTATTTAATCAGGAAAATGATAAGCTAAATTTTGTTTTAATACTCATTAGTCATTACCTTCTGTAACTTTTCATCAACAACACAAAGCCTAGAAGCATAAAGAACCCTAACATCTTTCAATGTGCATAACTTCTTGCATTGAGGGCACTGATTACAATTTAAGATTTTTGTATGAGGAATTTGATAAGAGAATCAAAGATGTGTTGTTCTTTATGGCGTAAAGTGAAATAACAAACCTTTGGACTTTGTTGAATCCATGTCTTGATACATGAGAATCCATATATATGCCCACAGGGAAGACAACTGCAGAAATCGCATTCAAAAAGGTAATTAGCTTATATCAAATTCATTCAAACTGAAGATTGATTCTTATAAACAAAAGGAATTATGCAATTGAATATGTTGTAACAATGTGTTAAGGTTCGTGTCTTCGTGATACCTGATTTGATGCTCTCCGCCGCTAGTCCAAGCTTGAAAGCAAATAGGGCAAAATAAACCGTCAATTTCGCCTCTATTCAACGATTCCTTTTCTCCATCGCCCTCACTGTTCTCTTGGTTCCCCGGATTTCCTTCACAGGAATTCGAATTTTCCAGCATCGCCACTGCCCCTTGCAATGTTCCACCGTCGGCAATAGAATTTGAAACTGTAGATGACGTCATCTCCGCCGGAATCAACTCCCCTTCATCTTCGTCGTCTTCTTCTTCTTCTTCGTAGTCGTCTTCGTCTTCGTATTCTTCTTCTTCGAAGTCGTCTTCTTCATCTTCGTATTCTAGTTGTTCGTAGTCGTCGTCTTCTTCTTCGTCTTCCTCCTCCTCGTACTCTTCCTCTTCTTCTTCCTCTTCATCATCCTCATCTTCGAAATCTTCGTGAACTTCTTCTATTTCATTCAGTCCGGAGTCCTCCATTGTTGTTGCAAGGAGTACCGAACACAGTTAGAAGAACAAAAACAGAGGAATAAAATCAAGTTTATCGCTAAATTTAGGTTTTTACACTGGACTAATTACACTTCGAGCTTTAAAATCCAACTTTTTTCTAGTTTTACCACGATAACAATTTTCTTGTGTTTTTTTGTTATTATATAGTTTTTGTTTTAATTGTTCAAATTAGAAATATTGTTAAAGACACTGTTTATTAATTTTTTTTAAAAGTTGTTTTTTTAGTTCTTAGAAGTGAAATCTTCGAAAAAAAAATTATTTTAGGAAAATTACACTTTAGTCTTGAAAAAAAGAGTAAATTATACGAACGGTCCCTATGGTTTAGGGTAATTTACGCTCTTGGTCCCTAACTTATCTTTTAACTCGGAAAATCACTATTGTTTGTTTTTTGTTACGCGTTTAGCCTTTACTGTTTGTTTTGTTATATGTTTGGTCTCTACTGGTTTTGTTACTATTTTTGTTCTTATCTTACCTAAAAAGATTATTATTTAAATAGGAAAAAATGATGAGGTAAGTAAGATAAGGTGAGAGTGTGGGATTGGGGTGTACTTATTTAAATCAATTAAAAAATCAATGTCAAAATAATTTTTTTAGGTAAGAAATGAAACAAGCGCGTAACAAAAACAATTAATAAGGATCTTCCGAGTTTAAAAGAAAAAAATAAGTTAGGGACCAAATACACAAATTACACTAAACCATAGGGATCATTCGTGTAATTTACTCAAAAAATAAATAGAAAAGTCTTAATTATTTGATTTTACACGATAATATGTTATTTTCTGTTAAAAGGAAAAAAAATCGTTAATTTGAACCAAAATGAAATAATCGAAACTTTTATGTTCAAAAACATTGGGATTTAATCATAAGTTTTACATAAATATTGAGACATTTTCAACAATTTCCCTTCTCACAATAATAATATTTTTTAGTTTAACAACTTAGATTAGGGTTTCGCTGTTAGAAAACATTGGTGGTCCTGCGGTTCCGCCCCTAACAAGTTCATGAAATACATGAATCCATTCAAGGAGGGTTTTACCCATAAAGAAAACTTTTTAACTTTTTTTTCCAACTATATACACAATTACTATCCTAAGCTGAAATTCATTCCAACTTTCTTCTATCATTTCTAGGGAAAATTATTTGTTCACGTTTATGCAACTTTCTTTTTCATACATATTTGATCATTTAATTTTTTATATTTGTTTACATATTATCATTTTCACTAGTTATAGCAAATGATAATAGTAATATGTGATGGTCAAATATGTATAAAAAAAAACTACCTAAATGCGAACAAAATAAAAAGTTAATTACCCTGATAAATCATTTTCTTCACTTTTAATAGCTATTTTATTTTTCATATTTATTTGTATTATTTTTTTTAAATGTTATTTTTAAAGTATCCATAATGTCCTAAATATTAATTTAATATTGATCAATTTTAAACTTTACTTTTTAATTAATAAATATGTTTTTGTTTTGTGAAATATTTGATATAACCTCTTATATAGATATTTTTTTCTTTTGTTTTTAAGCATATATAATATTTTTAAAATAAATAGTATCTAACAATAAAATATGTAACAATAAGTATGGAGGATATTTTAAAAAATAAAAAGAAAATATTGCATAGCAAATAAAACAATAATAAAAAAGTCTATATAATGTAAATGTATTAGAATTATTATAACCTTTTAATTAGAAGTTTATAAATTTTTAATTTTTTTAATATGACGTTTTAAACTAGTATTCACCAAAAGTATTTTAAAATGCTATAAAAAAGTATTAAATAGTCATACTAAATTTGTGAAACACTTTAAAAACAACAATGTAAAAAAAATACCGAAAGTATTTTAATACAACATTTTAAACTAGTATTTACTGAAAGTTATAAAAAAAATATTGTATGAAAATGTAAAAAAAAAAATAATAAATAAATAAAAACTTGTAAGAAAATTTTAAAATATTTAAAAAAAATATTTGGATTAAAAGCACTTGTATTAAAATTATATGAAAATATAAAATAAAAAAAATTATAAACAAAGTTTAAAACATTGTATTAGAAAAAACTATATGAAAAAAAAATATCATAAAAATATTGTAAAAATTATAAAAAGTTTTAAGAAAGTTACAAAAACAATGTTAACATTTTAATGATTTTTTTATACACATTTGACCATTTAACTTATTAAATGTGTAAAAATAAATGTTGCTTAAACGTGAACAAGACAAAAAGATAATTACTTTGACAAGTTATTTTTCCTTTATTTCTATAATATTACTTCTTTTTATCACAATGAGTTTTTTCAAATAATTATGATTGGTATGGTGGTAGAAAATGGGTTCATGAAAATAATTATGCTCTTTATATATTTTCTCTTGAATCATCAATTAACTACGACATTTTGGCAGTAGCTTCTCGAGTTGTTATAACGGTTCTTCAAGATATTGCATGTTCAAGTGTATCTAGAACTTATCATGAAAGAGATCGGGAAAATGCCTAAAGATTGCCTATACAAAATTACTTTGCTCTAATGCAAAGTTTGATGATGGCCAATTTAAAAGAAGTTTCGATATGAGTAAAACTTATTCCTACGTATTGTTGAGGATATGGAAAGAAATATCCATTTTTCAACTAACTTATGATGCTTGGATTCAAAAAAGGTCTCTCAAACATTCACTTAGAATCATTTGAAAAAGTATTTATATGTGAAAAAAATTGTGACACCAACTATAAACACAAGATAAAGACAAACATCTCGAAAGAAAAAAATGAAAAAGGAGTACGGAAAAATGAAAAGGGTGAAAAAAACAAGAATGCCCACTAACTACCTTTTCTAACAAAAACTTTTTGTATTTAACAAAAAAAATATACAAAATTTATTGTTGTTAAAAAAAAAAAAAAAAAATTCTAATCATGGTGACATGATAAACCAAAAATGAAGGCCGTGGTGGAATATTTTTTTAAAATGTTGCGACTTTACCCGAAAAAATTAAATTAAAATGTTTAAACTGCAAAAATAGGTAAAATAGCTTCCAGTCTTTTTTCATATCTGTGAAATAAAATATTGATCAAAAGACTTTTTTCATGTCTTTAGTCTTTATAAAAAAAACTATTTGTTTTCTAAAATCTTTTATAAAAAAGAATGGTGGTGCTGGTGTTGGTAGTGGTGGCGGAGAGGTGGAGGAAGAGTGTAGGTGGTGGCTGAAGCAGACGTTGTAGCGGAGGAAGTGGCGGCGGTGGTTGTGGTAGGAGTGACGGAGGCGGTGATGGTGGTGGAAAAAAAAATCACATTCAGAGAGTGTTTGAGAAATCTTTTAAAATGATTTTAACAACTTTTAGTTTTTCCAAAAAGCTAAAAGTTAAAAAAGATGTTTAGGTATTTCAAAAAGTTCTTTTATAACAATTTTTTGGTATTTTGAAAAAATCATGAATTTATAGCTTTTTACAACTTTTAAGTTTTTGGCTTTTGAAAAATCAAAAGATGGATCAAACACATTTTTAAACTATGTTTTGTAAAAGCCCAAAAAATCGAAAACAAATTTTGTCAAAAAAAAAAAAAAAACTTTTTAGCATGAAAAGCAATCCCAAACACCCCTCGGTTATTAGTTGAAGCTGTTAGAAGAAAGTGATATAAATAGGAAGGGAATTACTTAAAGGAAGCATCTTTATCCATTCAATTTCAATTTTCAAAATACAAACGTATCAAATTTCTCAACTTCCTCTCATATTTGGCATTTCTGGAAACATCTTCTCAAGTGCTTCACATCTTGCTTCATTTAATTTATGTCTTGCATCCATTTCATCACACATTTCTCGAAATTTTCCCTTGAGTTCCATAGATTTTTCATCCATTTCATTGCGCATCTCCTCAAGCACGCATTCATATACATTCTTCATCACAACATGAATATAATCAAATACATATTTCAAACTACAATCAAAGATATTTCATTCCCATAATCCCATGTACCTTTTGGCTTTGCTTTAAATAATCACATTCAGCTTCAAGTGTGATCACTCTCTGTACACAAAAAACTTAACTCTTAATTAGGACGATGATATACAAGTTTCAAAGGGATTATTACCTTCTGTAACTCTTCATCAGCGACACAAAGCCTAGCAGCATGAAGAACCCTAACGTCTTTCAATTTGCACAACTTCTTGCATTGAGGGCACTGATAAAATTAGGGGAAAGGATGAGGAAATTGATAAGAGAAACAAAGATGTTTTCTTTATGGTGTACAATGGACAAACCTTCCTAGAATTTGGACTTCGTTTAAGCCATTTATTTATACATGAGAATCCATATATATGCCCACAAGGAAGACAACCGTAATCGATCACACGAAAAAGAATATCATAAAGACGAAAGGTGAAAGGCATATTGTTTATTAAAATAGCACAAAAAGTATGAATTTTTTTGAGAATCGTAACAATGTGTTAAGGTTCGTGATACCAGATTTGATACTCTCCACCGCTAGTCCAAGCTTGAAAGCAAATAGGGCAAAATAAACCGTCAATTTCGCCTCTATTCAACGATTCCTTTACTTTATCTTCTTCGAAATCTTGGTGGTGTTCTTCTTTTTCGATTAGTCTGTTGTCCTCCATATTGTTGTTGGGACGAGTTCTTCTAAAACAGAACACAGGATGAAGACGAAGAAAAACAGAGCGATAAGATCAAGATTGAGCACCGAATTTAGGTCTTGACTATGGAGAAAGTCAAAAAAAAGTGAAACGTACGAAATTTGGGGACTTTTTAAGGGTTTGCTAAATAGATACGGCTAAATAGACACCCTATAATAATTATACAATGATTATCTATTTTGACTTTATAACAATGATTATTATTTGTTATTTCTAAATAATTATTTTTATTAACTTTTATTTTAAATAATATTTTATAACAAAATATTAACTAACATATTTTTTTTAACTTATGTATCATATGCTTTACTTTTATTTTTCTTATACTAAAACAATAATAATATTTTATAACAAAATATTAACTATCATATATTTTTTTTTAACTTATGTATGGTATGCTTTACTTTTTGGTTTTTTTATACTAAAACAATAATAAACACTAATAACTATTTTTATTAACTTTTATTTTAAATAATATTTTATAACAAAATACTAACGAACATATTTTTTTAACTTATGTACGTATACTTTACTTTTTTTATACTAAAACAATAATAAACACTATGAGACAAACTTTAATCATTCAATAATCAGTTAATTTAAAAATTCTTCAAATACAAGACATAAATAATATTCTTTAACAATCCTCTATAGTTATAAAATCACGATTATAAGGTTTCAGTTGTCTATAAATTTGCAAGACATAAATAATATTCTTTAACAATCATCTATAGTTATAAAATCACGATTACAAGGTTTCAGTTGTCTATAAATTTGTAGACGTGACATAAACATATTTTCCCATCCAGCTGCACACGGGGCTCTGTGACGGATCCATAAAGCCGAAATGGTAGGCATCGGACAATCTTCTTTAATTGTACCATAACATAATGAGGACCACGTATGAGTGAAATTGTAATAATCCGATGGTCCAAAAATTCTTCCGGACCTTTCCAAAGAGGAAAGAAAGTTAAGGAACCACGATTGGTTAAGAAAGTAAGGATCACACCAAACCTGTTAGCAATCAGGATACCTGTTTCAGGCATAAGCATCCAATGTTCCGTTGGTGCACTCGGTCCGAAGAAATACAATGAATTCCACAATTCATGGATTCCATCTGTGAAAACCGTAGCATATACATCGAATGCAATCTCTAACTCGTGTACTAGTTGTTTTCGAACGTAGAGCCATTGATCTTCGCCATACCTGAGACAAACAGATATTGCTCGAAATCCACAATGTCCATCACCCTCAACATTTTGTATATGTGAGACGTATGGAAGAAACACAGGTGGAATGTCATCCATTAATGGATGAATGTAGCATGACTCAGGCTCTTGGTTCAAATCCATAAATTCATTTAAGTCTGGAATTGCTTCATTCATGTCTGGAATTGCTTCATCAAATTCTGGAATTGCTTCATTCATGTCTGGAGTTGCTTCATTCATGTCTGGAATTGCGGTTACATATGAACTATGTCTTGCCGGTTCCTTGTTCATCCATGTTGAATTCAATCCATCATATTTTGATGTGGTTGAATAACTACGTCTTCTGGGAGCTTGATTTGTAGAATCAACTCGTTTTTGTTGTTGATTCTTCAAGTTTGGTCGTCCACGAGTATTTTTTTGAATTGCGGGTTCCTTAATGCGTGTTTTACTTGGTAGGAAAAGATCTCTTAGCCTCCTTATCATACTTTTTTTTCCTGCTTTTGACTATTGATAGAAGTTTTCTTTAATCATTTCTAAATCATCCTCACAACGAATATCCTCATTAGCTACATAAATTGACTCTGATAAATCAAGCTTTCTCCAGAATATATCTATCGATTCTAATGGAATATACTCACCTGTATTGAAATACCATTAATATATAAAAATTCAATATATTAATTAAATTAAAAAAAAAAACACTTGTTGAATATACTCACCCGAGTTCAAGTAAACTAATAACATGCAAGCACATGGTAAGCCACAACTATGTTGTAGTTTACAACCACAGTTTGATGAGTCAATTTGATTTTCATTCAACCGATAAAGTTCCCCAACTAGTTTATCGAGAGCTTCATGTGACACTGAACCCCACAATAATGTAAAACATGGCAAGTTGTGCTCCCGTTTACGAACAATTCTACTCTTTTCAAGACTATCATGTATCGATGGAAGTTGAGACCTCACAAATTGATCAAGACAACCGATAAATTTATCAAGAGAAGAATTTGTACCATCCAAGTACTTCTTTAGATTTGAATGTGCGCTCTCAACTCTATTTGTAGTTCGTTGTCCAAAGTTGAGATGTTGATCGATCCAGACTGAGACAAACATTTCCTTATATTTGTTTAACCAAACTTCATCCAGATAATTTAAAACATCTGCAATTATATAAATGTTATTTATCTATAAAAATAATCTTAAATCATAAATAACTAGTTAGAAAATAAGAAGATTTGTACCTTGATAATTTCTCAACATCGATTGGAGTGTTTTGTAGTTTTCATTGTACACTATCCATGTTGGAGAGTCAACAAGTACAATCCACATTATATGAAAGGCTTTCCACTCATCGTCTATCTTGAATGTTCTCCTCCAACGCTTTCTAATATTTTCAGTAATGTGCCATCTACAAAGTAACCGAGTGGCACCGGGGAAAACTTGTTGACATGCGTTCATCAGTGCCAATTCCCTGTCTGTGACTATAACACGTGGGTGCATGCACTTCTCTAGTGTTGACTTTAGACACGTTAACACCCAATTATAGTTATCCTCCTTTTCATTAACGATAAAGGCAAAAGCTATGCTAAATGTCTTGTTGGTTGAAGTTGTGCCAACAATCTGAACAAAAGGCATACCATATTTGTTGGTCTTGTATGTTGCATCTATAATCAAAACATGTGGAAATGCCTTCCATATATTCAACGATCATGGATGAATGAAGAAAAGATTCTCCAATTCATTTGATATACTGTTTACCGAGAAATCCGTAACAAAATGTTTCTCGTTCAAAAATTTCCATTAGAACCTACATTTATATACTGTTAATTAATAAAAAATTTAATATATAAATTAAATTTAAAATGCTACTTGTTGGATATACTAACCTGCATTGAAGTTTTTCCGTAATTCCGGGACGAGCGAAGCTTGAGACGCTCATTGTATATGGTTTTTAGTGTAGAAACATTATTCTCGTCGCGCTCCTTTATTATCGAGAGTATGTCATGTGGTGTAACATTCAGATTTGTCAAGTCAGCTACCATTTGTTTCTCGTGTTCTTTTAACCGCCTAGCAAAAGCATGTTCCTCCATATATTGTGCAGGTGAATGGTTATGTTGATCACATATCACCCTGAGGGTCCAACCGCCATATTGTTTGATATCCGAACCTACCAATTGAAAGTTACAATTGATTTTTTTGGTTCCACAATTTTTAATTGTTGCTTTGCTTTCGTATTCCCGGCCACGGTCACAAATAAGGGTTATATAATATACCACGCCATTTTTTGCCTTTGATCTTCTCATCACGATGACATAACCAAGAGAGAATGCAATGTTTTGCACCCATTCCATCAATTCATCACGAGATGTAAACACCTATTTTTTTTTAAAAAAAAATTGTTAACAAATTGTAACACAATGATAAAAAATGTTAATCAACATTTGAATTATACCCGCTTGGTAGAAAACGATGATGTCGTCGTCGTGTTCTCAACGCCGTCATTTAAATTATTTCCGTTGGGTCTCCACATTTTTTGCTAAACACTGCAAAATAAAAAATAATTATAAAAAATACAATTATATATAAACTATTAATCTAAAAACTAATATGTTTTATTAAAAAAAAAAAAAAAAAAGTGTAAACTAAAAAACGTGAAGCCCATGTTTTAACTTTCAGCCCATTTTTTTTAGCCCAATGTTTAACCCGTCCACATAAATACAAAAGAAAACCCTAAAATTTGTTAGCCTTCACTCCAAAATCTATAGTATCTCTGTCAATCCACGCTCTACACTCTCATTGAAAGCTACTACTCTCCACCCTTTCTCATCGGATTGATCGTCGCCACCATCAGAAACGACGAACCACCATTGTCGTCGTCTCTTTCCTGTCGACCATTGTCGCCGTCTCTTTACCTCCGCCGTCTTCTCCAATTCTTCCTTCATACCGAATCCTGGTATTCGACCATGGTTACTGACATCGCATATGGCATTGACATCGTCAGAACGACAATTGCAGCATCCGATTTTTGACAGAACTCTCCACTCTCCACTCTTTCTCAATACACATCTGTATACTCGGTATACCACTGTCGGACCACCGGTAAAGGTGAAGATGACAACATTGCAATAAATACTTCAAAAGTTTATTTAAGATTTAGAATAGATTATTTACCTAGATTTTGGTCTGTTTACTGTTAATTTATGTTATTAGCTTATAAACTAAGAATCTTTTTTAACAATCGGTTAGTAGTTGATTTTGAACAAGTTTCAATGTAATCAAATTTAATTCTTATTAAAAACACAGTCTTCAAAAAATGGTTAGTGGTTATTTAATTGAAATTTATGATTGTAAAAAAAAATTACTCTAAAAGAAAAAAAAAATTGGATCGTAAGTGGCAGTTTGAAAAATATTTGAAGTATAATGAGTTTAATTTAAAAGCTAAAATTATTATTTTGCTTTTTATAAGGGGCTATGTTGTAAAATTTTAAAATATACTTTGCTGAAATCTTTATTGAATGTTAAGCAGTCAAACGGATCTAGCAAGGGTGTTTTATACCCCTTTTTAATTATTTGATTATAATTTTAATGTTCTAATTTCCAAATCCGGATAATGACTTAAAATCCTAATGTATTTTTTAATTTATATATATTTGGTGATTGAGTTTTTTTTTTTTTTTTCGTTGATATTTACATTTTCAACTTGTTAAACTGTACACATTTAGTCCTTATAACCGGCTACTCAATGTTAGCCGATAAAATTACTTAATAGAGTAATATATTTCTTACTCTTTACATATTTAGTTCTTAATAATTTTGTACATATATAGTCTTTATTTTTTATTTTTATTTTTTGCAAAATAAATCATTTTTATTTTTGTACTTATTAAGTACTTATGAATGATTTTTTTTATGTTTTTGTCACGAAATCTTACGT